CAGGAAACCAACTTCAGAAGTAGTATTATTCAAAAATTAGTGGTGAGGCACTTCTTGATCTGAAGCTACTGTGCCTCCAACCTCAAGAAGAACACTCAAAACAAGCGAAATCCCCTTGCCCTGCAAAAGAAAATTGGTTTCAACATGAACAGAGTTGCACAAGATAGCTTACTTGGATCTTGGAAGTGTTGCAGATCACAAGCTGAATTTGAGCCAACAGTGTGATGTGACTGCAAAAAAGGCAAATGCTATTTTAGGCTGCATTGACAAATGCAAAGCCTCCAAATCCAAATTCGGCACTGGTTAGGCCTAATCTTGAACATTGTGTCCCATTCTGCACACTGCACTTTAAGAAGGATGCTGACGAACTGGAACAAATTCAGAACAGGGCAATGAGGATGGTCAAGGGATTGGAAACCAAGCCCTATGAGGAAAGACTGAAATGTTTGAACTGAATGTTTAACTTTGAGAACAGAAGACCAAGAGGAGATATGTTAGCACTTTTCAAACACTTGAAATATAGTCATACAGAGGAGGGCTTGATCATCCCAGAGTGTAGGACACATAATGGGCTCAAGTTACAGGAAGCCAGATTTTGTCTGAATATCAGGAAAAACTTCTTAACTGTTAGAGCAGTATGACAATGGAACCAATTACCTCCAGAGGTGGTGAGCGTTCAATGCTGGAGGCATTCAAGAGAAAATTGGACAACCATCCGTCAGACGTACTTTGATTTGGATTCCTGCATTGAGCAGGGAGTTGGACCCAAATGCCTTATAGGTCCCCTCCGATTCCATAGTTCTATGATTACAAAATTCGCCTCTTCCGTATGTGCCTTGAATGGGGACAAAGGTTTTTTTTTAAATCACATTATATGTTTACATCATCTCATTGTGTTGCCACACTACAGTTTGTTTGTTATTGCCATTGCATATTATATTCGAAACCTGCTCCAGAACACTCATTCACTTTTCCTCACTCCAGATGTGGGAGTAAGGAAAATAACAACTCCATCACATACCTGAAAAACTTGTTTGCAAGATCCTCCGCCCAGCTTCCAGGTGCAGATACCTGCAATCGTGGCAAGAGATATATCTAGAGATGTGGGTACAGTGGTGCCACGCATAGCAACGATAATCCGTGCAGCAAAAATCGTCACTATACGGATTCGTCGCTATGCGAAATTAAAAAGCCCATAGGAATGCATTGAAACCGCTTCAATGCGTTCCTATGGGCTTAAAACTTACGTTTTAAGCAAAAATCCTCCATACGGTGGCCATTTTAGCTGCCTGGTAAGCAAGGAAACCGTCCCTGTTTTACCCGGTGGCCATTTTGGAACTGCTGATCAGCTGGGGGAAAACATTGTTATGTGAAAATCGGTAAGCGAAACAGCTTACCGATCATCGCAAAGCGATTTTCCCCCATAGGAAACATCATTATGCGATCGCAAAAGCGATCGCAAAAACATCGCCACTATATGGATTTGTCATTAAATGGGGCGCCCGTTATGTGAGGCACCACTGTATTCATATTTGTATACGAATATCCCCGCACAGGTGGAAATAATGAGGGTCCGGCCCCATGGGGCTGGGCGGTCCACTCACAATTTCACTACTGCCATTGGCTCCACAGAAGCTTCGTAACGCGCTGTTGTCCGCAGTCGACTACCCAGTCCTGGCAGGAGGTGGGATGACAAGCCTTTCTGCTAGGTTGGAGAGTGGCTATCCATTGTGTAGAACAGCGCGATAGGAAGCCTCTGCGGAGCCAGCGGTAATGGCAAAATCATGAGTGGACAGTCTGGCCCCGTTATTTCCACCTGTGTGGGGATACAGTGGACCCTTGACTTACAGATGGCTTGACTTACAGACTTTTTGAGTTACAGACTTCTCTGGCCGCAAAATTTAGATTTGACTTGCAGCCTAAGAATTGACTTACAGACCAGAAAAAAACCAAAATGGAACAAAAACGGCCTGTTACGGGATTAATCGGTTTTCAATGCACTGTAGGTCAATGGAGACTTGACATACAGACTTTTTGACTTGAGAACCACCTTCCAATACGGATTAAGTTCTCAAGTCAAGACCCCACTGTATTCATATACTGTACTAATACAAATACACTCATCTCTAGATATAGCTGAAGGTTATTTCACAGCTATCGCCTTACAGGACCAGCCAGGTAATGATTAATATGCGTCATATATAAGAAAACTTGTCACTCTCTTTCTCTCTTTCTGTGTATGTATATTTCTGTATTTTTCCAGTAACTTAGATATGTGAATAAAAAGTAGCTGAGGAGAAGCTTGTTGAGTCATCATAAACAATCCCATTCCATACAATGCAGTACACAATATACAGCTTTCACCCTCTTGCCATTTTGCTAAGCTCGGCATATTATGAGATTGGAAAAGATGCTCTTTGTAAAGAAAGTGTTTACAATTCAAACTTTCTAGAACCTCACCCAGCAATATAAACAGGAAGCCCCCGACTCCCATGCAGCAGAACTGGCATACATTTTGAAGTGAGTGAAGCAATAGATGTTACCATGTAAAGAGTCCTGTTCGTAGGATTGCGAAGTCCATAACTCAAATGACTTCAACAGCTCTCCGACGTTCAAACTAGATGTAAAAGATAACGTGTATTTCCAGTCATACACGAAAAATGTGGTTCCGTAATCAGGCTTTCAAATTAAGCCCACATCTTACAGTGACCAAACACAAAGCAATTCGCATTCACTGCAAGATTGGTAAGTGAGAAAAAGCATGTCCTATGATCAACAGATATATTTCACATTTCAGAGAGCAAAGTTGCCAGCAATGTGCTACGGCTATCTAGTCTGACCCTGACAGTGTTTCTCTCTCTCTTTTTTCCACAACAGATGCAAGTAATAACAACCCAACATCTTTTTCCTCACTGGCTGCTTAACAGATGTATAGGATTTTCTATCAACTGATCTGCTTTCATCCCTCTCGTTCCTATTTCCTGTCCCCATTTGGACTCTAATGCATTCATCTTCTCCACATATATTTTGTGGGCATATCAAACCACATCTTGCAAAGGACACACCACACACCTGTGGAGGAACACCATTCCCACACAAGTTCTCTTCCAGTCCAGTATTTTTTTTAATCACATGCTCCCTCACAGCCTCTTCTTTCTTCCTTGTTTAGCCTGCGTTTGTTATATCTTCTAGCTACAACCTGGGCTTCTGTAAGGAAACTGAAGGAGCAAGGGGGAAGCAAATTTTTAAAAAAAGTAATGGCTGGCAGGTGGGGTGAGATACAACCAGGTAATGTTCAGCATCTTATCCATTAGGAACAGAGGAAGTTTCTTTCAATGTATTTGCGAAGGCTTTCACGGCCAGGATCTAATGGTTGTTCTGGGTTTTTCGGGCTCTTTGGCCGTGTTCTGAGGGTTGTTCTTCCTGACGTTTCGCCAGTCTCTGTGGCCGGCATCTTCAGAGGCCAGCAAATTGTGCCACAGAGACTGGCAAAACGCCAGGAAGAAGAACAACCTTCAGAACACGGCCAAAGAGCCCGAAAAACCCACAACAACCAGAAGTTCCTTTTGTTGAGTCACACTGTTGATCCATCTAGCCCAGTGTTGCCGACTCTATTGTAATGATTGATTCAGATTATAAAATCTGTTTGGGAAGTTTCTGTTAGGAGGTCCTTTCTTAGCAGAATAAAGAGCAACCGTGTTTCCCGTGGGCTTTTAAAACCACTTTATTGCTGCATGCTGTAAAGCAATAAGCCAGGTAAAAGTCAAGCTTCAAATAAAAGATTACTGAGGAGTTGTGATTTTTTAGGGAATATATTTGATAGGAAAGCCTATCCTAAAATTAGATAGAAAAGACCATTTCTTATGGCCAGAGCACATGGCTCAAAGGGATGGGGGACAATAACCACCATTAAGAAAAGATGTTAACAGCTTGAAAGTTAGAAAGGGAAACTGAGGGCGAGAACCGAGGAAATGGTAAATCATTGTTACTTTCAAGGGTGGGGAAGATAGCCAGTGAAAGCAGATATAGGCTACTCTTACTTCCAAAAGCCCCTTCCTTGGTGTTTTGTATGAGTGAAGAGAGGTGCAAAGAGGAGATGCTCCAGAAGGTGCTTCCCAAAAAATATGACTAGCAAGGACACCTCAGGGTTTCGGGCAGGATGCTTTTCTGGCTCTGCTTGGAGAATCCCTGGTATGGCCTGGCACCTTCTGTAGTGGCTACACAGGGCAGGGGGGCTGCCATGAAAAGGTAAGTATATGTACAAATACAGTGGTGCCTCACTTAATGATGTTAATTCGTTCCAGCAAAATTGCTGTAGAGCGAAAATGTTGTAAAGTGAAAGTAAAAAACCCATTGAAACGCATTAAAACCTGGTTAATGCATTCCAATGGGCTAAAAACTCACCGTCCAGTGAAGATCCTCCATATGGTGGCCATTTCGCTGCCTGTATAGTGAGGAATCTGTCCCTAAGCACAGTGGGGAGCAACTTTGAGCACCCAGTGGCATTTTGAAAACCCGATGATCAGCTGTTTTGATCGTTGTAATGCGAAGAATCGGTTCCTGAAGCAGGGAACCGATCTTCGCAAAGCGGAAAAACCCCATTTAGACCATTGTTTTGGTCCAAAAACATCATCGTGAAGCAGATTTGTCATAATGTGAGGTAATCGTTAAGCGGGGCATGACTGTAAATGAAGTTGTTCAGCCGCGTATCTACAGTAGCCAGACCCATAAAAGCTTTTCCCTCTTTGCCTCCTTTCAGGTCACTTTAAATGGAAGAATCCATTTTGTTCTGGCTGTTTTGACTCTCTCTCTTCTGGCTGCTTCTGAAAACTTTCCCCCCCCCAAAAAAATTTTGTGGTGTCAAGTCAATTTTGACTTATGGTCACCCTTTTGCAGAGTTTGCTAGGTACAGAGTACTCAGAAGTAGTTTACCATTGCCTTCTCACTGAGCTCTCCAGCCAGCTGTCTGGGAACATTAGAGAACGTTATAATCTACAGACCTGCCCTGGCTTCCACCTCATGGCTAAGTGGGTAATAGTGCCTGAATATCTTCAGCCTCCGGAGCTCCCTCATGATAGGTTCAGAAGCCTCTGCAACAGAGAAGAACATTATTTTAAGCTTTTCTCTGCTATGATTTATATTCTGCATCCATCTATTAATGGTTAATAAAGGTATGTTATATTTCTACACAAATGAACTGTTCCCCCTGCCAGCTACCTTCAAATCTTGTTGACAAGGCCCTGCCAGGATTAGACCTTGTGTTAAGTCTGTCATCTAAACAGTACTAATTATGAATATTGGACAAAATTTTAAATTTCCCATTCCTTCACGTCACTGCTTAGGTCAAGCCCAAAAGTGTTACATTCCTCACTTTCACTAATTCATATCAGTTATCCTGACATTTTTGCTGTAATCCTTAAGGGCAAGCTGATAAGAATGTACTTGCTAGTTATGCAAACAGGCCTTTTTACCTCTTGAAGGGTGTGTGTGTGTGTGTGTGTGTGTGTGTGTGTGTGTGTGTGTGTGTGAGAGAGAGAGAGAGAGAGAGAGAGAGAGTTTCAAGGATGAAGGGAAAAGAGGAACATCTGCTTTCATTCTTTGCCCTTCCCTGATTCCAGTTTCTAGCATGGAGGGGAGACCTAGGGTATAAAACATTGGTCCCCAACCTTGGGCCTCCAGATGTTCTTGGACTTCAACTCCCAGAAATCCTGGCCATCAGAGGTGGTGCTGAAGGCTTCTGGGAGTTGTAGTCCAAGAACATCTGGAGGCCCAAGGTTGGGGACCACTGGTATAAAAGGCCAGTGCTAGCTTGTTGGACGTAAGCCTTCTGCTTGAGGTAAAGAACCAGCTCCTCCTTTGCCTTCCTCTTCGCAGAATATGTTAAAATCCTCAAGGCCCAAATGACTGTTGACAATTCACTTAGAATATTTTTATCCCACCTCTCTCTCATCAAAGACCTCAGTGTAGTATAAAATGGGATTCTCAGAGCTGGGAATTAGAGATACAGTAATTACAACTGGGAAACATAGTGGGGAATTGAACTCCCACTCTGTGCCTCCTTGACAGGGGCTGGACTTGATGATCCTTAGGGTCTCTTCCAGCTCTGCAGTTCACAGCTAGGCAGTGATTCATTACTATTAACCAATGATTTGCATTTAATTCCTTTTTCCAAAAATGAAGGCATTATTAAGCTGTTGTAACTTAATGAGACAAGTGGTAACTTCACTCTCTCTTTTTTTGCGGTGTAGCTGCCATTTTTTTTACTTTTACAATTTCAAAGTCCCCACTAAACAGTAGAGGAAGCAGATCACGTGGTTCCAGTGCTACCTTGTGCTCTATTGTGAACGTTAAGACAGTGAAAAGTGGGCAGCTGTGGAACCATTTTGTAGCACAGACCAGGGATGTGTAGCATTTCGTTTTTATTATTATTATTTTAAATTCTCTTTAGTTATTTTGGAGCAGTGGGAAACCAAATGGGAGCATCAGGACCACTCTTTTTAAAAAGTGTACCATAATGGTAAGGAACTTATATTTAAAGCATTCAATGTACTATATAGCTTTCCAAATACTGCAGATAAACAGGAGTCTCTGAGCAGAGAGATTGGATTCTATGCAAAGGTAGGGAATGGGGTGGAGTGGATGGGCTCTTTCATTACAAAGTCTCCTTAGTTAATATATTTCACAATGCCTGTATGTTTCCTGAATGATTAATTGGTGCTTTAAGACAACTGAATTTATGTAGGTGCCAAAATAGCAGTCGAATTATGGTTTAGATTCTAGGAGTCAAAGCCAATACTTAAGAACATTCTTAATCCTCCCTCAGTGGGTGGGGAATCCTTGAAACAATTTGTCATATGGAAGCCCCTATGCAAATACTTCTAATATCTAATCATAATCCAATCTATCAAGAGTAAAGCTGGATACATCATGTCTTGTTGTGGAAGATGTTTCCTTGTAAACTGCTCTTTAAAACTCTCTTACGTAGTTATGCTGGTTTGGCACAAACAGTGTAACTTTTAGAGGTGAATTGCCACAACTTAAGAAATCACTGTAGATGTTATCAGTTGAAACTGAATTACATGACTCAGTGTGCAATTGATGAACTCTACAGTGGTGGTATCTTAACATGGGGCAATTTGTCTCCCCAAGTTATACCATCTGGGTAGCTGTGGGAGAGGATTTCAGCCATTACGATTTGTCTTCAGAGCATCTCAACACGATTAACTAGCTGGTGTGACTCATCCTGTAATGGGGGAGAAGCTTCACATAGAATTTGGTGGTGATGGGTGCCCCACTGCCTTGGCATGCCAAACAAAAACAAAACAAAAATAAAAATATTTTGGCACCTTAAAGGGCAATAGATGTATCTTACAATCCCCTTTCTCACCATCTGAGAGTGAAAAACTCTGTGCCAAAATATTTCATTTGTCTGAGGAAGTAGAGCACCGTCTGGTTGATGATATCTCATGTTGGATGGGCTTGTTACTTGACCTTGCAATGATTTCCCTCACTCAGTTTTCTCTCTGGTGTTGTTATATGGTGTCTGGACATACGGTATCAACATTTATTGACATCATGAACAATCATTTTATAAACCTCAGCCATTTAATAAACCTTAGGCTTGCTTGCTTTTCTTTCTTTCTTTCTTTCTTTCTTTCTTTCTTTCTTTCTTTCTTTCTTTCTTTCTTTCTTTCTTTCTTTCTTTCTTTCTTTCTTTCTTTCTTTCGACAGACAGACAGACAGACAGACAGAGCGAGCGAGCGAGCGAGCGAGCGAGCGGTCTTTTTGGCAGTTATACGAACTCTTCTCTCATTGTAGCTTCTTGGATGGCTCATTATGAGGAGAAACATGACTCCATCAGAATCAAAGGTGGACAATGTGCAGCCCTCGGTCTACAACAGGGTGGGTAACGGTGGCTTTTTCAATCATTGTCAAGATCAAATGTATTATTTTATATTTTATATATATTTATATATTTTTATTTATTTGATTTTTATCCCGCCCATCTGGAATATCATACCACTCTGGGCAGCTAACAACAAAAAATAAACAATTAAAATACAAAATCCAAACATCAATTATTAACAATACTGACAATATACTAACAGATGATAAATAATAGATAGAGAAAAGGAAGAAAATCAAATCAAATCAATTTAAATGCTGGCAGGGGGAAGGCCTGGATGTAAAGCCATGTTTTTAGTTCAAGTATGACACTTGAACAAAACCTTCAGAGCACTAGAAAACTACACTGTTGTGGAACTTTAAATAATAACTGCTATATTTTAATGTGAGCTTTTGTGGGCAAGCCCACTTCTTCAGATAAATGTTTATTACGTATTACGTATTTTTCTTTTGTTTTTTACCTGATATGCTAGCACAGACCAACTCAGCTACCTTTTCTAAAACTACAAGACTAAAATTCATTTTGCTAGTTTGAGTCTGTGGTGGGCCATCACATTTATCCCTGAAAGATTCAATTCTAATTTGAAATCAGATGATATTTTCAGTCTGGGTATCAAGAAATAAAGTGTGAAATAATTCCAGGTAACATTAGCTTCTATATTTCCATAAGCTTTATTCCTCTACATTGCTTCTATGCACACACACATACACAAAAATAAAAATTAATAATTTAGAAGTTTTGGAAATGTAACTTTTGAGAAGTCACAGGCAAACCATTCGTATAGCCATGAAAAAACTTTAAGCATAAATGCTGAAAATATATGAAGACAGAACTGAAATTGCAAGCGTATCCAAACACACACACACACACACACACACACACACACACACACACACACACACACACACACACACACACACACACACTATTTAACAAGACATGTGCTTGAGAGAAAACACACACACACACACACACACACACACACACACACACACACACACACAGTTTAACAAGCCATGTGCTGCTTCATCTTCTGCCTGATTCCTTTCTTCTTGGTCTCTTGGCCACATTATACTAGTCCTTTTATAGGATAAGGGTATGTATGTCCCACAATCTTTACATATTCCTGCCTAACTTGTAGATTGCATTAATACACAATCCCATATCTCCACTACATGAGTGTAGTGATCACGAAATGAGAAGGCTGATAGTTTAGGTGATCACAAGTAATTAAGAAAGCAATTAGTTTTAGAGAGAGAGAGAGAGAGAGAGAGAGCAAAGAAGTCAATCACATACAGAGATGTCCGCCAGCGGCGTCCTCCTGCCCGTCCACCTTTGCAAGGCCCCCAGGAAGGCTCCCTTTTATTAACCTTACAGATTGTTGATAGTATACAGATAGGATAGTGTTTACATAATGCCAATTAGGATTGGCCAAAGAAAGGCCTTGAAGTTAGCTCTCTGTCTCTAAGAGAAAGAGGAAGAATGGGTAGCCGCTCCTCCTTCTCAGAAGCAGCTGCATCATATCCAGGATTATCCTCTGAAGATGCCGGCCACACAGACTGGTGAAACGTTAGGAAGAAAAACCTTCAGAACATGGCCAAACATCCCGAAAAACCTACAAGAACCATGGATACGATCTGCTTCTTTTGAAACCTTAGCCAAATGAGTGTTTTTTGTTACAGAAATTACGATAGTAGAAAACTCCATTTGCTTAACATGCCATTCTTCATGACAAGCAGAGTTAATTGCAATTTAACATACAGTGGTGCCTCGCTTAACGACGTTAATTCGTTCCGGCGAAATCGCTGTAGAGCGAAAATGTCGTAAAGAGAAAATTAAAAACCCATTGAAACACATTAAAACCCGGTTAATGCGTTCCAATGGGCAAAAAACTCACAGTCCAGGGAAGATCCTCCATACAGCGGCCATTTTTGGTGCCTAAGCACAGCGGGGAGCCATTTTGAGCACCCGGTGGCCATTTTGAAAACCGGACAATCAGCTGTTTTGATCGTTGTAATGCAAAGAATCGGTTTCCGAAGCAGGGAACCGATCTTCGCAAAGCGAAAAAAAACCATTTAAATCGTGAAGCAGATTCGTCGTAATGTGGGGTAATCATTAAGCGGGGCACAACTGTATTTCACAATCTTAGGAAAATGAATAGGGTTGTAGAGGGTTTACTTAAAATATTACTTTTCATTCACAACCCACAAGGTTACATTTACTACATAAGCTGTTATTCTTTATTTATACAAAATTTCAAACTTTGACATCCTCTGCCAAGTCAGATGAGTGTGGGGGTGTCTTGTTTGTAGATAATCTCTGCTGTTCAATAGCCCTAATAGACTATCGCTAATGTGCTACATCAGTTACAGTATAACTTTAAAAAAATCTTTTCTTTACCTTGCCTTAAAAGGGCCAGTTGAGAAATTGCCTGCAGTCGAATTCACAGCAGTATTTTCAGATGCAGGCCCTTTGAGTGGCCCTTTAAGGCAAAGAAAATAAAAGCTTTTTAAAGTTTTTTTGATAACTGACACAGCGCATCAGCAATAGTCTATATAGAGTCCAATTCTTTTTGTTTTCATTTCCCTTGCCATCTGCAGAGCAGAGAAAATGAATAATTTGTCGATATTCTGAAGTGCCACATCACACTCGCATGCTCCCTGGTAGCATAGTTGTATCCCTAGTTTGGCCGTTCATCCTCCACAGCCTTAATATTTATATACAGTACAATAGTATGCATGTTTCTTTAGAAGGAAGTGTTCTTCAGCTTGGTGATTATTATTCTCTGTGAGCACTCGTATGTTTTCAGCCTTTCAGCCCAGTCCTAGTATGCTTCAGCATGAAAGCCCTGAATCTTATCTGGCCTTAGAAGGCAACGATACTTCAAAAACTGTGATGGAAAAAATGGGGAAACCCACAACATATGTCAGCAGTTCTACTTCCAAGCTTTTCTTCTTGAAATTGACTGCGAGTCCTCCAAATGGACGTCTTCCTTTTATGAGTTTTATGCCACCTTCTTATTTTTGGCAGTGCCACAAACTGATTTATAGAACTTGAAGAGGAGTTTTGCCGATTGCCTGGGCCTGTCAAGTGTTATAAAGTGCCCACATTTGTCCAGTATGTACACTCGTGAGTCAGGAATGCCTTTGGCTAAGGTTTCTGCTCCAGAAGGATCCATCACCTGAATGACAAAGGACGAGTGGATTATTTGTATTAACATAAAAATAAATTTAAAATTCCCAGTATCATGTGGTGAGTTCAAAATGGGTACAAAAGCTTTTGAGTGGAAGATCTCATTTCACCACCCCACCATCAATTTTAGTAACTCATCAACCATAAAAGAAGTAGAATGCCCTAATCCTGTGCCAGAGTTGTAGCCTTAATACAGTGGAACACCTTCCACCTCCTTCCTCCTGAAGCCCCTGGTTCAGTTTCAAAACCAGCAATGGAGGGACACCCAGCCCTCCAGAGAACATGGATAAGGTTCATGGGTTGTGCACTGATTGAAGAACTGATGGGAGCAATTGCACCAGCAAGCGTACCACTGGTTTCTGGCACTTGGGCCAGAAACAAGTGATAGAAATAGCCTGTAATCAGAGGTGAAAGCATTAATGTTGGAGGGAGGTGATTAAGGCTATGACTACACTGTTGAATTAAACCAAGGGCTGGCTCAGATCTTTAGAAATCAATTTAACATCACGTGGCTTTTGTGTTGGTGTGCACGTCCTCAGGGAACAACTTTTGGTAAAGTTTTATGCCGTCTACTGGCACTTTTAGTGCTCCCAGTCTCACTTTGTCCTCTGTCCTGGGCCCTTAACTAGATCTTAGAATCACAGAGCTGGATGGATCATCAAGTTCAGCCCATGTCAAGGAGGCACAGTGGGGAATCGAACTCCCAACCTCTGGCTCCACAGGCAGATGCCTAAACCACTGAGCTATGGTCTTCTTTAGCTTAGCCATGCCATGCGCCTTTCTTGAGGTGGAGCTTGTCTGCCTTGAGATGGCTGACAGCAGGCTCAGCAGCTTTGGTTCAGCAAAGTCAGTATCTGCAGGCTACAACACAGCCCACAACTCTTCTAACAGCCATTTCTCCTACCAAGCATCACATCTGGTCTAAATCATGTTTTTTTTTAAATATACTGTATCTAAGTTTTGAAAAGGCATAGCACTAAACTGATGAAGTGTTAAAATAGAAACATGGGGGGCGGAGGAAAAAGTTGTACTTGGCATCGAAAACTCGCCAAGTTCCACAGCATTAAATGCTGCTTAAGCCTAAACCCTAGTCTGGTTTCCATGGTTGTCAATCACTTCCCTTTCTTTTTACCTATGGAAGGCAATGGCTCTAAAAGAGAGAGAGAGATGCTCCACTCTCAGTTGGGGCTCTCCAAATGGGTTGGGGATGCAACCAGAAAAACCAAGGTTCCAATTCGCATGTGGAGCCTCCATGGATAGAGGAGCCTTTCTGCTTCATACTTTCACCCTCCACATGTACAGTGTGCTAGACATGGAAACGGAAGGGGGACACGGGCAGCATATTCCCTACCCTTGCATGTTGTGTAAGCAGTGCAGTCATCCTTCAGTCTCGAGAGACTATGGTAAGGTGTTCTGAACAGAGGTCTTGGAACAGTGTCTTATGTGGCTGAGAAGGCCAATTCGAGAGGGACAATCCCTTCCACACTGAAGACAAATACAATCTGTCCCCTGTCCAGCTCCCTGATTTTGCTGCTTCTGGAACTGCCTCTTTACCTCGGCCTGCTGGACAAGGGTCTCTTCAAATTGGGAAATGCCGTGATGCACCGCCTGCCTCCAGGCTGAACACTCAGATGTCAGGGATTCCCATCTGTTGAGGTCCATTCCTAAGTCCTTCAGATCCCGCTGTCAGATATCCTTATATCACAGCTGTGGTCTCCCTCTAATTCTCCATATAAGAGATCTTTTGGAATCTGACCATCAGCATTCTCACGAAGTCAAGTGTGTAAGCACACTTTCAATAATGCCTGAACAGGACTTTAATTGAATTGAACAATGGGGGAAGTACACTTGCATTCCAGCTCCATCTCATTGGGGTACTCAATTCCACCTCCAAATTCAGCACCTTCCCTCTAATACAATTAACGGACACTAAAAGGCTAAATGCTGGCTGGATAATTCAGTGAGTTGAGTTCTTGGCGGCAGAGCCAGAGAGTTTGATTCCCCACTGTACCTCCTGAGAGAAGAGCCAGCTTGTGTAGCATTGGGCAAGCTACTCCGTTCCACACCACCCCCAGGATAAGAGACTGGGAAACCACTTCTGAGTACTCTGGAAGGTGTTATTGTCAGTTCAAACCGACTTAATAGCATGTAATTATTATTATTAAAGACTAAATCCCAAACCAGTCCTATGTTTTGTCAATATGCGGAATGGTGTCAGTTTAATGAAACAAGGATGACTAAATCTCTTCTTGCCATGAGGGAACTTGTTCTCTCCCTGAGAAAATTGTTAGTGCAATCCTATTGTTTATTCAACCGCAAGCCTACCGAGTTAGCTAGGATTTATTCATAAATGATGCATTTTTAAGTGAATCTGTTTCATTTCATAAGAGCAATAATGTTTGGGTAGCATTCAGGTTATTGAGGTGGGGAAAGGTAGGGTTTTAAATTAAATCCACCCACAACAATAGCATGTAAGAGGACCAGAAGAAAGGATTTGTTTGTTTGTTTGTTTAGATTTGTATCCCACCCATCTGGTCTATGCGACCACTCTAGGCGGGCTAGGATCCTCTGCCCTACTTCTCATAATTTAGGCATTGTTTTTTGAAACAGCACAATTCTAAGCACTCTCATTTTATTAATACAAAGGATCAACCTTCTCTGGTACCCAAAACTGCATCTTATCTAGTCACCACAGTCACCATGGCCAATAATGGTTTTCATCCATCTTCTTTGAAGGGGGCTGGATTGAAGAAGACTGCATGAGATTCACAGAAGGAACAAAGTGCTTACCTTGTCATCTTTTCCCCAGATGATCTGTGTTGGAGCCTTGATTTTGCTCATGTTCTCATGAAGACTGTACCTTGAGTTGAGGCTGGACATATCTAAGAAGCCTTTTCAAATAAACAAACAAAGTTAGGAGTGTTTCTTCCATCATGTTGCCATTGCACAGCCTTTTCTCTTTGACGGGGGCTTTTTTGCATTCCGGTTGAGGATGTGGGTAGTAAAAGTACAGGAGAACCCTGGAAGTCAACAACCATGTCCAGTTGAGTGGGATGAAGCATTGCAAGGCCATGCTGCACATGCTCTTTAAAAAGCATAACGCTCGCCTCTTTCTTAAAACTGCTTATGGTAATGTTGGGTGCATTCCAGGGTCACTCTATATCCTCAGGTGGATTAATACAAATTTTCCAATACAGATAAAATATGATGTGTAATTCACTCCTGTAAAGGGAAATAGAAGAGGGCCCACAGTATGTGGGAAAGGGTTCTCAATACAATAACTATAGCATTTAGCAACATGTGAACTTGATTGTAATGTGGGATTTGCTGAAGTATGTCTCTCCCTATGTTTCTGTCCAAAGGATGGGCAACATACCCACATCCAAGTAGCATTGGAAAGAATGGCATCACAAATCTGTGACCTTTAAACTTTCTGTGATACATAACGTTTTGACCCAGGAGTTTAAGATTAGAAGGATTTCTGCGGAACATTTTTCTAAAACAACCATTGTAACAATGCTGTAGAAGTATGTTATATACAACACATTCCCTTATATATAAAAAACCTTCCAGAGATTGTGCTATGTTGGTTTGGCTTCTCTCTGAAGGAGAAATCACTGGCCTTGCTAGAAACCCTGGCTTTGCGAATGTCAAATAGTCCCAGCAGATTCTATCTTGTTAGGCCACTTACATTTTAAGAAAAAAGACTTGTGTGGCCTCCGGTCTTCAAGATATCCCTTTAGGAGCTATGTGGAGGAAAACAAACCAGATTCAGAACATGTATGAAGCAGTTAGGGAATTAAGCTCACTACAAAAAGTTTGACAATATTCTTTTCCAAAGGCAGCAGGGGGCGCCACACGCGGTTTCTGGGCATAAAATCCAACAGGGAGCTTCCATTGACGGAATTCCTTTCTTCAAGATCCAGGAAAGGGGTGATACAGCCCTTTCCCCTGCATCTCACAGGGCTGCCTCTTAAGCTCATTTGAGAGACCCTTCAAAACAGGTTTTTCACACAATACGGAAGGATTCAAAGGAGAGGCTAGAAAGTCCTGCAATGTTGGTTGTCAGGTGCGAGCAAGGGGTGAGATTTCTATTCCTACTTTTCTTTTCCTTGGCTTTTGCATTTCACGAACACATGAACATCTTAATCAAAGGCTGGTTGGGCAAGATCAAGGCTAGTTTGGGGTGTTACAAAAGGAATCTCATTCCTTTTATAACCATTAGCCAGCAAAGAGTGTGACTACACTGGAAAGCTGAATTGGAGTGATTCATCTTTGCCGCAATTTCATTCGTAGTCTGAATGACATTTGAAGTCTCACTCAGTGCTCATACATGAGCTACAGATTGGTTCAAGAGTCTGCTGTTCATGTGGGATGCGGTGCAATTTGCATTCCAGCCCACAGCCCTTCTTTCTTTCCTCTAGTCTTGCCTCTGCTGATCCTTCTTTCCGATCCTTTTATGGGGTGTAAATGCAGTAAATAATAATGGTGACCCAGTGATAGGGTGATCTAGCACTAAACTCATATATGACATTTTTAAAAGAAAAATCAGAGGACAATTGGGGGAAGAGGAAAAAATGCAGGTTATGTTCCCTCAATCCTGAACATCATGCCCAAACTGCCTATCTCACTGAAACACCACTTACAGACACACAGACCCCTTTATTTCCAAGAACGTATTGCAACTAACCACATGGGGAAAAGCTTGTTCGAATTGTTCCAGCCTGAAAAAAAGAAAAGGCTCCCAATGGCAGAGAAAAAAGCCACTGGGAGCAAAAATAGGCTGGAATGATTCGAATCAGCTTTTGCATTGTGTGGTTAGTTAATAAATACTTCAAATGCACCTGTTTATAAACAGAGAAAAAACTTGTGGTATTTGACCATGTGGTCATAGTCTAAATGGGCCTGGGAACTGCAAGGGAAATAGCTAAGCTAAGCAATAGCAACAACAAAGAATCAGAGCTAAAATCAGCTGAGGGAGCAACTAGTAATAAATAACATCAGGTCACACACCCTCCCACTGATCCTCAGTGTTAAGGTATACAGGGTTGCAATATTCCCAACATATATGGTGGTATTATTAAATGAATAATGCATTTTTGTGAGTTGTAATCCAAAATAAATAGCTGTACTGATCTTGGCTTATATTTCATTAAGTACCATGCAATAAATGCATAACTCTGAAGATGCCGGCCACAGAGACTGGCGAAACGTTAGGAAGAACAACCTTCAGAACACGGCCAAAGAGCCCGAAAAACCCACAACAACCAAATGCATAACTACTGGGTTCCTTGGGAGACAGGGATTTTTCAACTTTCTGTTCTAGCCAGATGAAAGGTTGCAAGTTCTCTGAATGTTAATTGTTTCACCTTCCCCTACCTGCCTCCCTCCAGGTGGGTTCACTATGACCCCCACCATCCATGCCAGTAAGAATAATGGTTTATGGGTGCAACTTTCTCTGCTTTCATTCAGTTATCTCCAGCCTCGCTAGCAAACTGCTAAGAAAAGAGACGCTCTTCAGGAAAGAAAAAAAGATGCAAAGGACAGGGACTTGATATTAGAAAATATATAGGTATAGAATTACAATTTCCAGGAGCTACAATCATACCTGCATGTTTATTTTGTTGGGACGATACAAGCCAAGCCTGAGTAAGTCTTCTCCCTGTTGTACAGTCAAAACAACAAGAGGATTGTCATGTGCGTTGGCAGATTGGCGCAGCTCCTTCAAACGCCTGATGAATTCGTTTTCTGTTGAGTACTGCAAGCCTAAGAGTTAGAATACACAACTTAAAAATGACACCAATGGCATATCAGTACCAACAGAAGGGGTTCAAAACTGCAATGGAGGAGTTAGTGGGAGTGAGTGAGCACTAGGGGAGGTTGGGCATACATGTGTTTTCGAAAGACAAAGGGAAGCTGCACAGGAAGAGTAAAAAAACAGATGGGCATCTCTTCTGCTTTACAGAGACCAGTCCTCCATGTATTTGAAGGGCAAGCAGAGGATAAATTTATGTTTGGAGCTGTCTTCTATTTTGTGAGCCGCATCCCATTTAAAGAGAAAGAAATATCAAAAGGAAAAGCACCTACAGAACAGATCAAGCACAGAAAAGGTCACCTGGCCACCATGTTCCCCCAATAGTGAGGTGTGCTATATTTCTACTTACATTATAGTAATTGTTCTGAAATTTGCAACTGTACATATACATTCGCATATAGAAACTCCGATTTTTAGTGATGTGGTTCCTTTGTTTGTCTGTTTTCGCAAAATTGTGGGAATTTTGAGGGGAATGTTGGGGGCAAAGGAGGACAAGGAGAACCCAGTGAAAAGAGGGGAGAGGAATCTGAGAGTTGGAATCTGTCCAAGACATCACATACCAAGAATGAATCACTCACTTCTTTTAAATCATATCCTCCCAGATATTAAGAGGTGACTCAGAAAAGGTTATTCGGCCATTGCCATCTCTTACCCTATTCATCCCAGACCCCACAGTTCTGTTTCTGTGACCCAGAGACAAGATGTGATGTTTTGACCTCTTCATTGAAAGCTAAGGGGCTTGAGGAGACCCACTGAAATAACTGGGTTGAAGCACTCACCAGGTGGACAAAGGAGAGACAAAGCGCAGATCTCAGAGGGATACTGAGCAGCATAAATCCCAGCAACCATTCCTCCCATAGACATGCCAACCAGGTGAAATGGCTTTTTGTTCAGACCCGTCCACTCCACAAACTGAAACAAGAAGTGTGATGAGGTGTTGTGTACCTTAACAGTTTAAAATGAAGAAACTCCATTCTTGTATTTTTCTATGACTGTGATTCTGTAATCCGTATGCTGTTCCTGTGCAGATCTTTTAATAATAGAACTGTATATCCTGTCAAGTTAATTGCAACTTATGGTGACCCTTCTGGGTATAGAGCACTCAGAAGTGATCTGTCAAGAAGTGACCTTCTGCTGGTGCTTTGGGACTATGCAGAATGGCCAAGATTGCACAGGTGGCAGGGCACATAACGCCATCAGCCCCTGCCCCCACACTGGGGGAGTTCAGCTGCCCCTCGCCCTGGAGGCAGAGTGAGGACTTGAACGTTCAGACTCTTGCTCCACAGCCAGGCGTTCCTGCCCACTACGCTATACAGCTCATGCAGATGTTCTAGCAGAGGTAAAACATGATGCGTGCTGCAGTTTTGAGGAGAGCTAAGAACAGAAAGTTCATACCTGGTGTATCTTTTTAGCTTGATCAACTGCTGTATAATTCTCAGCCAGCAGACGAGTGGTTTCTCCATGACCAGGCATGTCAAGGCAAACTATGTGGATGCTTCTAGGAAAATGCTGCAGAAACAAGGACAGTGGGAAAGAGACCAAGGAATCAAAGCAATTAAAATCTTGAAGATGACACCAAGAAGGCAAAGCTATTAAAATAACAGTATTTTAATGGACGTAGGATTCAGTACAGCTACGTATGTTCCCCTGACTACCCATGCCCGGTAGGTTGATATCCTGAAAACAACCCAGTGGGGATGAAAGATGTTCAGGAGGTCATGGAATGCTGAATGACCGATTCATGGGAGTGAGGAAGGCAAACTGGAGTGGTAGAACAGAGGGGTGCGACTCTGAACAAACTAATCCTTCAGTACAGGGCCTCATTTGTCAAATAGTACAGATGTTCAGGTTGAAAAATGGAGTATGAACTGGGACATGTTCCATCATTTAGCAGAACCTCAGACAACAATACAGCGGTACCTCGACTTACGAACGTCTCCACTTACGAACATTTCGAGTTATGAACAGCTCCGTTCGCAAAATGTTGCTTTGACTTGCGAACGGAGCTTTGACTTACGAAAGAAAAAAAAACTTTCCTGCCCTTTTTTTTTACCTAAGTCAAAAGAAGATACCTTAGGTCAAAAAAAGAAAAATTTTAAAAATTTCTCCCCCTAGTGGTAGAGTACGGATTAACCGGCTTTGCATTCGTTCCTATGGGAACGAATGCCTCTACTTGCAAACAGCGCCTTGACATAAGAATGCCTCGACAGCCGGATCAGATTAAATGGTTTTCAATGCATTACTATGGGAAATTTTGCCCTGACTTAGGAACACTGTTCCAATATGGATTAAGTTTGTAAATCAAGGTACCACTATATAAGAAACATTAGAGGTATCTGTAGTGCAGGAAGGGTATAATAAATCTGTTATTAAATTCTGGTTTTAGAATCTATGTAAGAAACATCAGAGGTATCTGTAGTGTAGGAAGGGTATAATAAACTATTATTAAATTCTGGTTTTAGAATCTATGTAATTTTTCTTGAAGTTCCTTAAGGCGTGTTTTTTTCCTCCTGAAACACAGAGTAATAGCAGCAGTAACAGGAATAACAACAACATTTTAACTTTGCCTTGTCTTTACAGCATTGTAAGAAGAAAATGAAGACATACTTTGACTGCATTTAACCACATGTCTTTGTTGAATGAGAAACCATGAAGCATCAGGATTGACGGCCGGTGTCCGGGCTTCCCTCGAGAGAAGTAGCAGAATCTGTAGCCATCGTGCTCAATATATTTCACCTTCACACACCTTAATTGACGTTTGTACCTAAAAGCATATAGAGAAGCAAAAGAAGGATGCTCTGACACACGAATCTCTACATCCCCATTCCTGAGCATGGAGCGTAGCTGATGTGTGCCCCTTTGCTTTTCGTCAAAAGCCTGAGGAGTAAATACCTGATCTCAGGGGGCACCCACACCTGCACACATACACACATGCACACACAGGAAGGAAAAACTCCTGGAACTTATTGGGGTGGGCCACTCGGCTGATCTGCAGACAGAACAGCTGTGGCCATTCATATTTCAAGGGGTAAAGCCAGAGGGTGGAAAGGATACTTGTTGGACTACAAGTCCTAGAATAATGGCAAATAGCCGCTATTCCCAACTGAATTCCTATTTCTGCCCCTGTTGCAGGACTCAGCCCACAACCAGGAATTCAATGAAGGACTCATTGATTAGCAGCTATTTACCCATCCAAGTCACATTACCACCAAGAGTGCATTAGATTCTGGCCATTGTGTTTCAAGATGTCTTCAGCTGATTCGTAATTGTGTGATGACAGCAGTTTTTCAAAGTATTGCTAGTATGTCTGGCATCTGCCTGCACTCCTGTCTGAACATCACTTTGTGGAGGCCCAGTCCTAAAACACCATGCCCAGATATGCCCCACTGCCCCTTTCATGCCTCCAATGAAGGGGGCTGCAGTCCATGAAGGCTTATGTGAAATAAAACACAGTCATTAAAATGCCGCAAGATTCTTTGTTGCCTTTCCTAGAGATACACCTACCATATCATGGTCCTGAATAATAATGAAGGCCACAGAGAGTACCGCCTGTCAAAGAGGCCTGCAATGAAGCGTATGACCATCAACAGCACCTTGCGTACAGTGCAGTCCATGCCTACCAGTGGGGTTTTCTTTTCCCGCCTGTACAGTGAAAACAGATAATAGCACAAAACAGAAATGTTAGACAAAATGCATGCAAAACGCAGAAAGGACCTCAATAAAATAAGGGTTCATCACCTCAAATGCCCTCTGCAGTCAGGCATGTCCCAAGATAGAAAATGCGTCTTCTAATTATTATTTTATTTAATTGTTTAGAATATTTATTTTACTATGTGCTGTCAAGTTGATGCTGACTCATGGCAACCTCACCCCGCCTACCACCACCAGCTCATATCTTTAGCCTATATGCCCAGCAGACGGGATGCAACCCTGAGCTTCCTAAAATGGGGAACCTAAACCTTCTAGCTTTCCAGCTCTCAGAGGGTCTATGGCAAAGTTGAACAACCTCCATTGGGCCATGGACCTTGGAGGGTCACACCTGCTCCAACATTCTAACCCTCCAATAACTTTTTTTTTAAAGGTCTATTTTTAATTCCCTTTCAATTGTCCCCTCATGTCACCTAATGGCCAAAAGAAATGTCTAAAAACCTAGCAAGTTTTTTTGATCTAGAAATTTAGGTGCTGAAGGTTTTGCCGGTATTTATTAGAGGTGATGTACTTTCATCCTGCATGGCACATCCTGCATTGGGCTTGGACATGAATTGGATCAAAGACATTTTCAACCCTAAAAAGGGAGGTGTGTTTCATTCCTGCAATAGTTATCTCCAGTTTGCATTGCATCACACAACCACCCCTTACCCACAGGACTTTGAGATATTTAAAAAATGTTTTACATTTAAAAAAAATCTTTGTTGGAGGTTGACCGCCCTCAGGTATGGCTGAAGAGGGCACATCTGAGCTCCTGGGCTTTGCTATTCTCTGCTGTACGGGCTCGTCGTCGTCGTTTAGTCGTGTCCGACTCTTCGTGACCCCATGGACCAGAGCACGCCAGGCCCTCCTGTCTTCTACTGCCTCCCGGAGTTGTGTCAAATTCATG